AGAAAAGATGATGAAGGTAGGACATGATAGCAGCTCTCAAATATTTGAAAGGCTGCCATAAAAAAGAGGGAGAACGACTGTTCTCCCTTCTCATAGAGCAGGACATGAAGTAACAGGGGTTTAATTGCAGCAGAGATGATTAAAATAACATCTCAGGAAAGAAGAACTGTGGCCACTGCCTTCTGGAAGTGGGGTGGAGGGCAACAAGAAACAGCACCAGGTCTAGAGCTGAAAGAAGTGACTCTGGGTAGACCCCATGGTGGGGAGGTTGTAGAGCTCACAGCACACAAAGAGCTCCAGCAGGCCAAGCCTCTGAAGGGTCACTGCTATCTAGGATCATAGGGAGGGGTTGTGGCATGTCCTCTTTGGTTGCAGGGCACGTGAGCCCAGAGCTTTTCACTGCACCTGTGCCCCACAACCATAGGGGGTGTAACCACAGACCCTTGTTAAGATCCAGGATCAGCCCAGGGTTACTGGTGGCTTTGCATGCATGCAGTTCCCCAGCTGCATTAGAATATGGGTTCCATCAAATGCCCTTCCTCTTTTTCCCATGCCAGACCTCTGATTTCATAAACAGAAAGGAGTACTTCTCCACTGTGGCAGGTTCACCTACATTAATTCAGGTTGGGCTAGAATGGTTCGTGTTGCTAGGATCCTTAGGAACTCGTATTTCTTGCTTCTTTAATGAAAATGTAGAATTGTTTCCCTAGCCAATGGGCATTAAAGGTGCTGATGATTTTGTTGTTGTGGGAGACTGTCTGCTACCTTCACTAATGAAGCCCTTCATTGGATCATTATTAACCATTCCTTTTACTGCCTATAATGCTGCAGGGATAACCGTAGAATGTGTGCTTTGGAAACTGAAGCAGAGCTGGCAGTCTTACAAGGCTTGAGAACGCTCAGCAATACCTGCTTGAATTGATAACTGCATGCTGTGCTGTATAGATCATTGCCAGCAAGGCAGGCAGTTTTTTGAGGGCTATGACAGAGGTTCAGAGACTTTTAGGCTCACCTGCCAAAACAGCAGTTGTTTTGCTCGTGCTTTGGGTCATTTCATTAAGACGTTAATGTGCTTTGTGGGATATGACTAAGTCTAGGACTATGTCCTAGACTTCAGGAGGGCCAACTTCAGTGAGATGAGGAGATTAGTGGGAGAGGAACTGGGGTCCTTGAGGGCAGAGGAACTCAGCGTCCAAGAGGAGTGGTCGTTCCTTAAGGAAACGATACTCAGGGCCCAAGGGGTGTCCATCCCAACAAGAAGCAAGGGGGGGAGGAGTGTCCAAAAGCCCCCCTGGCTCACCAAGGGTGTCCGGGAATGCCTGCTTGCCAAAAGGGTGGCGTACGCCCGGTGGAAGGGGGGTGTAATCTCCAAAGAGGAGTATACCTCCTCTGCTCGGGCCTGCAGGCGGGCTGTTAGGAAGGCCAAGGCGGAGATAGAGCTCGGATTAGCGTCCAGGATTAAGGATAACAAAAAGTCCTTTTTCAAATATATTGGGAGGATGAAGAAGGCGCCGGGTAATGTGGGGCCCCTGCAGGATATGCGGGGCAATCTGGTGGTTGCGTCAGAGGATAAAGCGGACCTCTTTAACCAATTCTTCACCTCCGTTTTCTTGTGCAGGGACCGGGACTTCCCTGCTGTGATAGAAGCCGGACGCGAGGGGATCGCCTTCAGACCTCAGGTTGGGGAGGACCGGGTTAGAGAGCTTCTGGAGGGGCTGGACGCGTTCAAGTCAGCGGGTCCGGATGCTCTCCACCCCAGGGTGCTGAGGGAGCTGGCTGGGGTTATTGCAGGGCCCCTGGCACGGCTCTACGAGCGATCGTGGTGCTTGGGCCAGGTGCCAGACGATTGGAAGGTAGCTAATGTGGTCCCCATCTTCAAAAAAGGGAAAAGGGAGGACCCGGGCAATTATAGGCCCGTCAGTCTTACCTCAATCCTGGGGAAGCTCTTTGAGAAGATCATCAAGGAGCACATTTGTGATGGGCCGGCATCCGAGATGATGCTCAGGGGCAATCAGCATGGATTTATTAGGGGGAGATCATGTCAGACCAACCTGATTGCCTTTTATGATCAGGTCACAAAGGCCATGGACGCAGGTGTCGCGGTGGATGTAGTCTTTCTGGACTTCAGCAAGGCCTTTGACACCGTCTCTCACCCCATCCTAATTAATAAACTAGGCGACTGTGGCATAGATGCCTACACAGTCAGATGGATTGCAGATTGGCTGAAGGGTCGCACTCAGAGGGTGGTGGTGGATGGATCATACTCGACTTGGGGGGAGGTGGGTAGTGGAGTCCCCCAGGGCTCGGTCCTGGGGCCTGCGCTGTTCAATTTCTTCATCAGCGATCTTGATGTTGGGGTGGAGAGCAACCTGTTTAAATTCGCTGATGACACCAAAATTTGGGGGGAGGTGAGCACGCTAGCAGGGAGAGAGAGATTGCAGAAGGATCTGGATAGGTTACAGGGGTGGGCAGACAGGAACAGGATGCGTTTCAATACGGACAAGTGCAGGGTGCTGCACTTGGGTAGTAGGAACCAGCAGCACACTTATATGATGGGGAACTCCCTACTTGAGAGCACGGAGGCGGAAAGGGATCTTGGTGTCATTATTGACTCCAAGATGAACATGGGCCGACAATGCGAGGTCATGGTTGGCAGGGCTAACCGGACCTTGTCGTGCATCCACAGGTGCATCTCGAGTAGAGCCAGGGAGGTGATCCTCCCCCTCTATGCGACGCTGGTCAGGCCGCAGCTGGAGTATTGTGTCCAGTTCTGTGCGCCCCATTTCAGGAGGGATGTGGACAACATGGAGAGGGTCCATAGGAGGGCCACCCGCATGATCCGGGGGCAACAGGGCAGACCCTACAGTGAGAGACTGCGGGACCTGAACCTATTCAGCCTCCACAAGAGAAGGCTGAGGGGGGACCTGGTGACCGTCTATAAACTCACTAGGGGGAACCAGAAGGGTTTGGGGGAGACGCTGTTTCCCCTAGCCCCCGCTGGCATAACAAGGAGTAATGGGCACAAGTTGATGGAGAGGAGGTACAGATTGGACATCCGAAAAAACTACTTCACAGTTAGGGTGGCTAGGAGCTGGAACCAACTTCCAAGGGAGGTGGTGCTGGCCCCTACCCTGGGGATCTTTAAGAAGAGGCTGGATACTTACCTGGCTGGACTCATTTGAGTCCCATTTTTGTTTTTAGGGTTTGTGTTTTGTTTTTTTTTGGGTTGTTCTCCCACCCTGGAGTGGGGTCGGGCTAGAAGATCTATTAGGTCCCTTCCGACCCTAAAACTATGAAACTATGAAACTATGTTCTAATTGTTAGTTGTCTGCCGGTTTTATAGAGCCTTTTGATCCATGATGATGAAAATTTGTACTTTCAGGCTTGGAAATTGTACTCTCATGGAACTCTTATGATGCAATTCATGTAAATATTATCACAGTAAATAAAACCCTGTTTTGTTCTTACCAAAGCACACCTGCAAGTCCATGGACTGGTAGAAGCTGCACTGTTAGAATAAGGAGAGTAAAAGGGAACTGCAACTGTTAGAATAAGGTGAGTAAAAAGGAATGGGGAGAATAGGAAGGAGAGAGGGAATTTCCTAAAGTAGTGGCATTTGAAGTAATTGTTTCATACAGCTGTCCGCTTTCACCTTCACAGCCTTTAATTGCTACTGTTTGGGGGTTTTTTTCCCCCCACTTACTTATCCTTTAGGATTCTCAAGGAATGCCACTGTTTTTTAAACCTAAGGGAGAGGACTATAGTTAAGACTTCCTTTTGACGTGCTTCTGTTTCTAGTATGAGGCTTCCCAAGGACCTGTACAGTCAGGGTAGTAGTTGTTTGAAGCTGTGGTGCTATGCCACTAGAGTGGGTGGGTGAGAGGAGCGTTTGTGGAGCATGCTTTCTAGTAGGCATGTGCAAAGCCCTATTGGATTTGGATTCGGCCTGAATTGGGGACAGTGACTCAATTAGTTGATTCAGATCACTGTCCCCGATTCGATTCGGCTGAATCTGAAGATTCAATGCTGATTTGGACATAGATACAGCTTTAAATGCTTTTTCTACATATCTCGAGGTACCAGCACATGCTGGGGTGGATGCAGCGTCCCACAGGCGTGCAGGGAGCTCCCCCCCCCCCCTCCCCATGCTCGGTGGCAAACCCAGAAGTGGACTGGAGGTACTTCCGGTCCACTTCCAGGTCTGCCTGGGAGTGTGCGGCCCTCACCTCCCCCCCCTGCATCCCACCAGCTTGGCGATTGGCCACTGGGTGGCCCTGGGTGCCCCCCCAGACCCAGGAGGCACCAGTTCCTGGGGAGGGAGAGCGGGGGGCAGCCCCCAGCATGCTGCCTGGCAGACCCAGAAATGGACCAGAGGTGCTTCTGGTCCACTTCCAGGATTGCTGCTGGGTGTGCTGGGGAGCCCCCGCATTTCTGTGGGATGCTCCGTGTGTCCCAGCATCACAGCATTCATAAGCCGCCTGCTACCTAGAGGTATGTAGAAAAAACACTTAAAGCTGTGTCTATGTCCGAATCGCCAAATCTTTCCGAATCTCTCCAAATCAATTTAGAGGGTTCTGATTCCATTTGGAGAGATTAAAGGGTCCTCTGATTTGATTTGGATTCAGAGATTCGGCCACCAAATTGGGCCAAATCTCCCAATCCAATCAGGGACTGAAGCTTCGCGCAGCCCTACTTTCTAGCTATGCTCTTCATCTGCTCATAATCCATACACTGCTTATATATCTCCCTGTCCCTTTTTCTGTAGTCTCCCAAGCCATAGCATGGCTTTGCTCAGTCCTCCCCTGCACCCTCTTCTGAGAAGGCCCTCTCTGTCAACTCCACATGGCCTCCCCGTTCTTCTCCTCAGCCCAGAAAACCCTTCCCTTGCTGAGACATCTCACCTTGCTGTTGGGAGGCTAGCAAGAGTTTGCCAAATAGCATGTTCTTTTTTTTCTTCCTCTTAAGGTTTGTCACACATTGAGTAGCTTAAGGGCCACATCCTTGACGGTCTGTCTGTCTGTGTCGTATGCAGATCCTGTGGAAGGTGAGAAGTCACAAGCAGTTGTTTTTTGTTGTTTCCATGGTATTAAAGACCTAATTTATCTCCTCAGTTTTTAAATATCTTTCTCGTGGCCTCTTTCCAGGGTTGGGAGAGTGTGGAGACAGTAATTTCCCCGCTCCCCTTTATTTCTATGTGACTTAAATCCCCGATGCTGTGGATCATGTCTGCACTCCTGGAGTGTTTGCAGCGTATGGCTGGCTGTGATGGAACATCTGGTGGTGACCTGTTGATTTGCATGTCATAGAAGTGGGTTATCTGGCTGAACTGTTGCAAATGTGGAGGCTAGGCTAGTTAACTGTATTTGCACACCTCTAGGCATTCTTACAGAGGGGTGATGGGGCAGGGCTTCCCATCTACAGGGAGCAAAGACTGGATGATGTGGGGAGGAGGTTACTTTTGGGTTTGGGGATGGCGGGCAGAGGAGCTGGTTAGTATTGCACTTGTACCTCTATGGGCAGTCTTAACAGTGACTGCTGGTCTGTGTGACCAAAAAGCTGTGAACATGCTTGGTTAAGAAGGTTAAAGGGAACGAGTTGCTCATTGATGTTACTCAACATAATTGTCTGGCCTGACATTTTGCCTGGTTGGAAGGGCACAGCCGTCTCTTCTGGAACAAGCCACAAGGAAGCTCTGGATTCTAATCTTAGAGCAGAAAGAGCACTTCTTGTATCTGAAATTTCATTTGATCTTCCTTGAAGACATGCACAGTGAAATAAATGTGGTTTTGTTATCATTGTTCAACACATTTATGGCTAGCATTGTTGTTGTCTTACTGTCTATATGTGCTATTCCTCACACTGCAATGCAAACTTGAGCATTGGAGAAATGTCTTAAATACTTGTGTACTGATGAAGCACTTGACTTTCTACTTGAAAATGGTTCAGAAAATATCTTCTCTGCCATGCTGTTCTGTGCTAGGATAGAATGCTTTGAATGCCATAAAATGCTTAGCTCCTGGTTTGACTTCATATCGAATAAACATATTTCTAAACTATGGTTTTCTTTTTTGGAATCTCTTGGCCCAAAGTGTGGGGGGGAGGGACAGAGATGGACGGACACGACAACACATTCAGAGAACACTGGAGATTTTGTAAGAGGAGGCCAGGAAGAAGAAATAGAAAGAAAAAGTAGGAAGAAGGCAGTTGGGAGCAGCTCAGGCCAGGGCAGAAGCAAAAGGCAGACACAGAAACTAGTCACAGATCTCATGAACTGCCCCTTCCCCCACCTCAGACTACACAAATAAGACTGTTTATCTTGTAGTAACCAGAGAATCATAAATTCATTGAGGTAGCTTGGTCCTACAAATGCAATGCCTAGTGTGTATGAAGTCTAGAGAGAGTGTTTTGAAATCTGGAAGGTATTTCTCTTTAGATTGATAGCTTCAAATAGAATAAAATGCTGAATATAAGATACCAGATGGTGCCTCTCTAATTTGCTTCTAATTTAATCTGAAACTGTATTTTGGTGGTCAATAGTACTTAAGCAACTCGCTGTCATCCTCAGTAAGGCCTCTGTTGGTAGATCCCATCCATAGTATTTTTTTAACACCATTTAAGATGGAACTATTATAGTCTGTATTAGAAATGTTTCTTTTTTCCTTCATGCAAGACTTTGCTGTCTCAAAGTTTTCTGGCCAGCTGCAATCTTATGTTTATTCAGCTGGGACATGTAACTTTCCTTTTGGTCCCCTTGTGTATGTTGTTACACAACACTGACATTGAGTTCCTTCCAGTGGTATCTGTATCAGGTTCTGAACCAAAATGTCTGTTGGTGTAACTCCACTAGTGTGAGCGATTTTGTCAACAGAGAACTTGTCCTACTTCACATATAACTACTCTTTAACAGGAGGAATTGATGTTACTGTCTTACAGAAGGTGCTGTAATTGAAAACTGGACCATTTCCATATCCAAGTCTGATTTAGGAGCAATAGAAGGCAAGTGGGCCTTTTCATTTGAACATGATTCATCAAGAGCCTTGGTGATTTAGTAGTAAAATTCAAAGAGCAGTCAATAAATTAACTGAAGTAACTGCAGTCATTGACTCTTAGGTTTGAGAAATCATGAAAGATGAATAAAGGGAGAAATAAAGACCCAGAGAATTACAGACTGGTCATCTGGAAAGATACTGGAACATGCCATCAAAGAATAGATTTCTAAATATCTAGAGGACATACAGGTGATAGGGAGCAGCCAACAAGGAATTGTCAAGAGCAAGTTATGATTAACCAATTTAATTTTCTTCCACGACAAGGTGATGGGCAGTCTTTTAGAATTTGCTGCATAATCCAGTTGTGAGCAGATTCTATTCCCAAAGCATGCTGATAAAGCGTCTTTGCCACGCCATCATGCATAATGTACAAACCAATTCGTATGTAGGTCTAATGAGTGAAATCCTAGTTCTGTTGTGATCTATAGGAATTTTGCCATAACCTTCTTAAGGGCCTGCGTTTCAACCAATACAGTTTGACTCTGCCTAAATCAAGATTTTTATGTGGGGAATATGTAACCTACAGTCTGCCATATAGGAAACAAGGAAAGGTCCAGATAATTTGTCAGTGCCTGAACTCTCTTGCTCTAGCAAGCACTGAAGCCTTTTCCTTGGTATTAGGTTTAGCTTCATAGCTAAGAACCAGGTTTTAGATTTCCCTTTTTTGTTTGTTTTTTTTGGACCAAACTAAAAAAAGAAGACATGTCCAACTAGACAGGAATCATGACTATTATAACTAAGACTGTGTTTTACAAAGAAATGTCAGGGGATTGAAGTGCCTAATATCACTGGGCAATTCATTCTTTTGAAAACACCAGTCAAAAAATGCCATGGGATGGCATTCTCAGTTACAGTTGTTTTAGTAGGGAACAGCCTGACAATGTTAGATAAGTCTGTTTCCCACTCTGACCTAAAATTGGATCTGCTGGAGACCTTCATACTGTAGTGATCATTCAGTTCAGTAAACATAGCCGTACCTGAATGAGGAGAACTGAAACAACAAGTCTTTACTGAAGAGCTGGAGGTCATCTCTACAGACCTGTTGTCTGGCTCTATCTAGCTATTTAACTCGGGGACCTCTCCCAATTCTCAACTTCCTCACTGTCCTGTTGGGGAGTGTCTCTAAACAATAACTTCTATTGCTACACATACTATGGTACAGATCTGATGGTAACTGTTCTTACCTGACCTTCCTTATCATAGTTGATGCCCCTAGCCCACCTGCCATGAAGGAAATGCCATGCTGATTTGATGCGTTGCCCTTATGTTGTTTGTTTGCCTCTCCTTTGTATTGCTTTGCATAGCACATTCATGCAGATGGAGCAGGACAGAGTGAATGATTACCTAAGCTTTTGTGACATGGAGATCTACAATAAGTGACAAGTGAACCCCCAAATATTTGCCAGTGTAGTTTGGTTTGGTTAAGCACCCAAACATCCTATGCTCGCTTTCAGGACATCTGAAAAACCTAAAATAGAGTAGAAGTCTTACAGAACAGCCTGTACTGCTTTATTCTGTCATTAGTGTCTACTGGATTCATTTCTGTATTCCACTCTGTAAATGTGGAACTGCGATGCTTTAGTTACTCACAAGGATAGTAAGAGTTTTGTTCGGTCTCCTGTAAAGTGAGACATTTTTACATAGAGCGTTCCTATCACTGCATCCTAGAATGATGTTGAAACTCACCAACACCACTCTTTGATTGGTCACCAGAGAGATCCACCAACAAATAGCAAGCTTCTCTGTGTCCTCGGCCGTAGGTTGCCAATCCCTGTTCTGAGGGCCAGATCTGGTCTACAGAATTATTGGATCTAGCCTGTGGACATGAGGCTGTGGTGTCATTTGGAAATTGGGGGCTTTGGCTGCAGATGCTCTCCCTGTGTCACCCCAATGATGACTGCTGACTGTAGGTGCTCTCCCCATGCTGCTGCAGAGAGAAGTGGTGGTGGCTGGCTCCTAATGCCTGCCCACCTGCCTGTTGTTGACCTGGGGTGAGTCATTCTGCTGTGCAGCCAGAAAAGGTTGCCTATCCTTGTTCTAGAGAGAGGTAAAGTCGAAATGCATGTTATAGTGTGGTAAGAACCTGGAGGCACATTACTACATTTTATTTACCATTCCAGTGGTGAGCTTCTTGCCACTGCTTCTGTTCCTTGCCCTTTAAAAGCATGGAAGGGACAGGTGGTAGTCAAGTCTGAGATGCTGTTTTGCTGAGTGTTCAGCAAATCAGAAAATGAGAATATGATAAAATGATACCCCAAAATAGGGAAATTGAATTAAAGGATGACTGGGGGGGGGGGGGGGGGGGGGGGGGGGGGGGGGGGAGAGAATAGGGGACAGGAGGGAGAGTGAATGGAAGAAAAATATAATGAATGATGGTAAAAAAATAAACAAACCCTGAAGATCTGAAATTAGTCTTGCTTATATGCACCTGCAAATCTTAAGAAAAAATATTAATTTAATGTCAGGGTTGCAGAAGGAAATAAGCAGAGAAAAAAACTGAGTGGTGTAATACAATGAACAAAATTAGAAAAAGTGGTAGCTTTCAGAATGGGCCTCATTTGGTGTAATAGCAGGAGTTTGAGAGGCCAAGCTGAGGTCAGGCTCCTGCCTCCCAAACATTAAAGCTTCACTGTGTGCCACTGGCCTCTTGGTGTGTTCTGTTTCCTCAGGCTTTGCTTGCCTGCTGCATCAGTTGCTGCTAATGAACTAAGCAGTACTGAGAAAACAAGAATCAAAGGCTGCAAAAATCAAAGATAGATTATTTTCAGAAGGTGCAGGGGGGGTTGGATACCCAGTTCCTTTTCACTGGGCACAACTACAGGAGATGCTTTACTCAAGACTAGAGCTAATTACTGCACAGTAAGTGTCACAGTGTACATGTGCAGATGCTCACTGTGTGATAATTTGCTCTAATCATGAGTAAATTTGCTACCTGTAAACACAAGTGGCAAATTTACTCTGAATTACCTGCTGCACAGTATGGCATGTGTAGCAA